CTGTTTTCGTTACATCTTTGTCACCTGTGAAAATTCATTATTACATAGTTTACTACTGAAATAAATGTTACCTATACGAAGGTAAGTTTTACTATATTTTTTGGATTTTGCCAACGTAAATACACAAAGATCTGTTATTGTTTTTTCAACAGTTCCAATTTTCAAAAACCAAAACTGTACTACCAAAGTAAATATTAACATTTCAAAACTCATAACATATTTTAGGTTATGTCTTCAATTTAATGTTGAAATGAAATGAAATGAAATGAAATGAAATGAAAATGAAATGAAAAATTATTTATTTTACCAGGCAAAGTTAGGGCCACATGGCCCTCTCTTACACTTAACCTGACAAACTTAAATATAAATAAATATAAATACAAATATTAGATTAAGAAATTTCATTTTTTTATTTAAATTAGATTAAGAAATTTCATTGTATTTTTATTTATTTATACTAGCTATTACCCACGCGCTTCAGCCCGTTTGACTTCATAAGTATTCATAAAACAATTGATTGGTTAAGTTAAGCTGAAATAAACAAAACAGAATACAGTGATAAAAACAAATAGGGCTAAGTACAGCTGAAGTTTTTTTAACATTAGGTATATGGAAAGTTCCCTTTAGAAAGGACTTATGACCTTAAAGGGCAATTTATGAAATAATGGATAGTTTTGCGGAAGGTTTCTCGTCATAACGAACATTTTAAGTATATGGTTTATGGGGGTGTGACTTGTAGTTTTCTCAAAAGGTCATGGGTACTTTTGGCTTTATACATAGACTAGCTGTGTGCCCGTTCTACGCACGGGGATCTTAGTCAGTTGAAACCTTCTTACTAAGCTCGTTCGCATGGCTCAATCACGTCCTGGTTGAATTTCGTTCGCTACGCTAACTCGCCTCCAGGTTGAAGTTCGTTTGCTACGCTCACTCACCTTTTGGTTGCAAATTAGCTGTTTTCATAAATAAATCAAAAATAGTGCTGCACCCTATTGGTTATCCTTGTAATTTTAATGCTATTGAACATCATAGAACAGAACCAACTTGTTTAATTGAAACAGCTGTTAAGATTCATTAATTCCTTTTAAATATGAAAAATCATAAGGTTAACATCGGAAACTCCAGAGCCACTGCGGCGGAGCCCGAAAGCCCAATCAGAATAACAACTACATAGTTTTCCTATTTAATGCCCAAAGAATCGGTGTACCGAATTTCAGCCTCCTAGGTAAATGGGAATGGGAGAATTAGTGATGAGTGAGTGAGTGAGTGAGTCAGTCAGTCAGTGAGGGCTTTGCATTTTATAAGTATAGATTTAAGTTTGTCAGGTTCTTAGTAAGAGAGGGCCATGTGGCCCTAACTTTGCCTGGTAAAATAAAGAATTTTTCATTTCATTTTCATTTCATTTCATTTCAACATTAAATTGAAGACATAACCTAAAATATGTTATGAGTTTTGAAATGTTCCTAACAGTAATAAAGAAGTATCCAATGTCTGTTTTAAATAAGAAAATAATAAGTCTTTGTAGTGTAGAAAAAAGTAATGTTCAAAACCTGAGTATAAGTGGGTCTACAAATAGTATGACCATTTAAACTGCTCCATAAATCTCTCACTAAACTATTTCGTCATACTCTAGAACTAGAAAGATCAGGATTAGAACCCAGGATCTTGTGGATCACAGCCCCTTACTCCCTGGCTAAAGGAGGCTGATGAACTCTACTGAAAATTAAGTGGCTGCCTTGGTACCACTAGAACTTGAGGGGTTTCACATTCCGTCGGGCCAACGCATGCTTATCATAATCCCATGAAATGAAAATATGTACAATGGTTGGAAGATAAAGTTCAATTAAGAAACTGGGTTTAAACATAGATTTTATCTCAACGTCAAACACAAACAACCTTTACCATTTGTGATTTCCTGACGGGTGTAAGATTACTTAACAGTTTACAGACATAACAGCCCAGTCATATTTTAAACTTTTTTGACCTTTGTCTGGGAAATTAACTAACTCCAGTGGAAATTATATTTATTTAACTGTACAAAACTATGTTCACTCTTCGTGATAAATGAGTGTTTAATGTAATAAACTTGAAATTAAAAGGCAAGAATGTTAATTAAATATACTCGGGAGGCTTAACAAATTCCAATTAGTCTAAAGTTAATCGTGTATTTGAATAACCGTTTAATATTTTTATTCTTCAATCCTTTTGAACTGAAATAGTAACAGATAATGGCGATGTGCTTTTACAGTCAGATATAATGGAAGCAGAGTTAAAGCCTCAAATTGCCCGCTAAAACTTGAGAATTTAATAACATTCTTCAGCTTTGGATAGAAGTTTATAAAGCAGTGTACAGCCTTTGGCGTTTGCTTACGTTTTCAAAGGTAAAATATTTCATTAACTTCATTTTACACCATCTAAGTCATCTAGTTATGCGTATGTAATACAACGTATCATATTGTTATATTTGAAACATATTATGTTTCATTACTTCGTATGATAGGGCCTATTAATAATTGTCACCATAATTATACCATCTCAATGATTGATAATTATTAATAACACCTATGCCTGAAATACAATTAATTTTTTCTGTAGTTTGTCCTAGGTAGGCATACTAAAAAAATAGCTTTTACTAACCTAGGTAAGTTAAAACTGTCCATGCTTACTTTGAAACCACAAAATAATCTTATTTTGTCTACTATTAATTTCCAAGTATTCATTTATTTTGTACTTTTATATGCAAAACATTTTATTTTTTAATGCAGTAGGATATTTATTGTCTTTTGTGAAACAGCCTTAAAGATGACAATACTAACAAACCATATTTACTGCAGATTCGTTTGGTTCTAATCCAATAATTCATTTTTCGAATATTGTATGTGAATGTGTTTAACTAAAACGCCGTCTCTGTAATCCTCATATTCATACAACACATGTTGTTTTTCATCAGCCCTAGTATGTATTGCGGTGCTGATGCTACTTGCGCTCCCGTGGCGCGTCGCCAAATCTGCAACACACGTAACTGCCGTTTCCTCAGCAACCTGTTGCTGACGCCGGCGCTCTGTTCGACCACCTGTAGCAGAATCAATACTTCCTCAGCGCTGAATTAATTAGTTGAGAAAGATCCTCGTCCACGCATATTGTATTAATTAAACCGTAACAATGGAAGATATCTTGTTACCCTATAGTAAAATCGGACGTACGAATATTAATTACCTAAAAGTTTCTTAAGGTGAACTTACTTTAGCAAATGATACGGTTTGACTTGAGTGGGTTGAAGTTTATAACTTCCAACTAGTTGTAAGGCGATTTTATTTTTTTACAATTGGGGTCAAGTTGTTTCAAGAAATTTTGAAATTAAAACCATGTTGTCAATGGATTTGGGAAATATTAGTGGAAAATATTAGAAATAATAGCCCACTATGGATAGAATCAGAAACTTCATGTTGTTAACCTCCTAATGGCTTGTAGTAAACATAATAATAGGGTTTAGTTGTGTAGGTACCTTTACTGTCGAATAATATTTGTGTAACTATTTAGCTAGGCTATTTAGGAAATTACACTTGGTGGCCTGAAAATGAATATCACTAAGATCTAAAACCGGTGGCCCTCATAAGACTCTAAGATTCATTTTGGAAATAAAAGTTGTATAAAGTAATTTTATGAAATAAACCAGCGTTCTTAAAATTTGGACAACTTCTCTTCATTTTACATTTCATTTACCACTTTCCTTTATTCTGCCTAAAGACCAAAACCAATAGTTTGTATAAACAACCTTCTAGTGCCACCCAAACTAAAATTATATTGGAGACCCTCGTAAAAGTAGTAACTATCAGTAAGTGGGGCTAATGGACAGTAACTTTCGGAAACTGTCGTTGTCTCTACAAACTTGTTCAACTTCCGCACATTAACACTAGTTACTCTGATAACTGTTATTTCTGTAAATCGCCACACCTTGGACTTGTCCTGTAAACCTTTTCCTATTACGAAGTAAAAATGTCAGTAGCAAATACTCCACCGATGTAATAAGACACATCACACAATTATATAGTTGATTGAAGCTTGTAAACCTTTTCTTGTCAATTATGATATTTTATTTTAATTATGTTATTTGTTTCAAATGAAAATAATAAAAATAACATTTTGCTGTAAAAGAAATACCTTTATTTAGAAGGAATATTTTGAACGAATGTGTCCTATATGTGCGGATTATTGGAGTCTATATGATGAAATGGGAGTCTACCTTAACTACTGATAGATTTTGGACCTATTAATTAGATGAATTACTGCTCAAAACTAAGACAAATAAAAAGTAGCACAGTAAAAATGTGAAGTTAGCCATGCGTTATTTTAAACCTAACTCATATCGAATACATTAGAGTTTGTGTAGCCCCTTAACCGAATCGTATATGAGTATTAGCGAGCTGGTCCATTTGGTAGAGTGTAGGCTTCGGTCATCCAGATTCTTGGTTCAAATCCTGGCCATCTCCAATAGCTTTTAGCAATGGAATAATTTCGTGGCCTTATAAGCATGGTAGTGTGTGAGTAATGCGTAAAACGTTCCAGGCTAAACCGTAGCGTTATAAGATGAATATTTTTTTTTAATTACTAGTAATAATAATTAACGTGTGGCTAAATACATCGACTTGAAGATTCATTTTCTTATTAATCAAACTATTATAGCATTATAGCAACTATTATATTATAGCATTGATATTGGCAACTATTATAGCATTATGTCACATAACGGAAATTTGAGTTTTTATTTATTGTGTTTTGTATTTTTTTTTTTTTTTTTTTTTACTAATGAAATCTTTTTTAGCCACACAATATTTACTGTTGAGTAGTAACGCCCGATGATGATGCAATAGTAGAAAAACATCCCATAAATGGTCATGAAAAGGGAGTGAAAGGTGATGAACCTTCGTTAGGTCTACATACATCCAAGACTTGGCTAGTTAACCGCGATTAATAACAGACGTCTAAATAATTCAATGATCAGTTGCAAGCCGCACGATGACTGCAAGTTTGCACAGCTGTTTGTAGACACAAGTAGTCAGCTGATCTTATTCACTTGTAACTGTCAGGCGGAGTCTAGTGTGTGTTAGCGTCTGCTAGTCTGTGGTGTTAATTTAGTTAGACACTACTCGCAATGGAGGAAAATAAAGTGCTGGAAGTCGTAGAAGAGGAGACTGAACTTGGAGCGATGGAGATGACACAGGCTAAGTCTAAGGCTGTAAGTTTATTCAAAACTAATTTTATGCTTATTAAGGTTATTTTACTGTATTTTTATCACAAAAATGTCTTTAATAATTAATTCGAAATTTATTTCCAATATCTATCCCACAAATGTTAAATGGATTATCAAAAAACAGGCGTAATCTGTAAAAATCCACACACATCTTTAAGAAACCACCTTTTCAGGTATAGATGGACCCAAAACGGATATTTCCACTCAAAATTCAAATCCGAAAATGTTGACGAATACAATACATTCTCAATAGTCAAAATTATTTGATAATGCCTATTGTCCATGCAATAATCCCCTGCACAGATAGATTAAGGTTCGTGGAACAGCGTTCTAAGGTACATATTCATCGAACATTTTTTTTATCAAAATGGCTTAAAAAAATATGGCTACCTTTTCTAGTGTTGTAATGACTTGCTAATATATTCATATGAAGAGTTTCTCTAAAAACAGTTTAGCTAAGGTTACAAACCTTTTGCGACTTTAAATTGGTTAAACGATGGGTAATAACACATAGTAACACATTATTGGAAAAACGTATTGCAGGTATTCAATCACATAAAACTAATATGTACTCACTTTAAACCTTCCTAGTCGATTAATCAAATATTTACTGTACAAGTATTACGTTAGACATTTTTTAATATGACCTAGACCACAAATGTTTTGACAAATAAACCCGAAGAAATTCAAAACCTCATCGTTTGTATCCGTCGTTGGGACGATGGGAAATTCAATACATTACACAGAGGCATATCAAAACATCATTATCAAAAAGCTCACCAGCGTTACGGACAGATTGTTAGAATGCAGAGCTCTTATCAAAATAATGTTTTGTGATAGCAGGTCTGTTTACACCATTGCTGTGACAGTTGCTTTATATAGTTTAATCTTATCTCGTAGGTCGAGTGTACACTTCTGTTTCTGTGCTACTTTACATACTTGTGTTAAGTGTTAACTGTGTTACTAAGCAGAAAATCTGTTAGTCAACAAGTATGGTAAGTTACTCGTGTGCAAATTATAATGAAACATTTTTAATGGACAAACAAAGGGATTTAGGTAACTTCATTTACGGAGGTCGAATAAAGTGTTTCTAAATCTCACAAATAAATAGAAAAGAAAGAGGAATTAAAGGTAATCGATAAAAGGAAATCCACATTAAAAGTAAATTTAAAAAACATATTTGACCTTGGTTTGTAATAGTTTACATGCAATCAATCGTGACAAAAAATTTATTTTTCTGTCCTTTAAATTGCATTAAAAATATAGTATTCCAAATTGAATAACAGGAGAAAATATATTTTTAATTTCGTGAGCTAGTGGGATATAATTAAAATAAAAGATCTTAAATTGAGAATTTGTATAGCCTAAATGAAGACACGTATTTTACAAATAACTAAGGGAGTAGGGTTTCTGCGACATACAAATCCTTTGGAGTACGTACTTTCTCTAGTATGTTAAACATTTTCCAACATGGACACGACTAGGGACATCTATAATTCATGCTCATTTAATAAATAATAATATTCTACTCATTTTCACAAATTAAAATTTGTATGGTTATTATTTGCAAGTGAGGAAAAACATCTTTCACTACTCTTCTCAAGAAATCCACTTAGGGCATCAATGGCGTTTTCCACCGTTTCACCCTGAAATGGGTTTCATTCGAGTAGCATCCCATCTTACGTCACTAAGCTTATCCAGACGTTCTGAGGATCCACGAGCCGCCCTTTTATAATGGTTTGATAGATAATGGTTTACACATCATATTACCAAATTTAGAGATTTTTTTACCCAAAGCTCCTAATATTACCTTTCCAAAAAGGTAATAGGCATTTTCGTTAAAGAGGTGTTTCAAATTGTAATAATTTATTTGGAAAATCTACCCAGCTTGAACAACTCTTAGACGTTTATCTATTGTAGAATGCTGAAGAGGTCCAGAAGGATTGTCCCTTTCAGTTCAACCCGTTGACGGACGACCTGTCTGTGGCGGTGCGAGGGGCGTGTACCCTAATGCCCCCGGCCGAGGTGACGGTGTCCCCGCCAGGGTGTGTCCTCCCTGAGAACTACTGCAACTACGCCCGCAGGATCAGGAACCTGGAGGTTCGGGAAGACGACGTCTGGGTAGTGTCTTTCCCGAAGTGTGGTGAGTCAAACTCAAGAAGTCGTGCAAAAGAGTACCTAGACTAAGGCGTTTTATTACCGTGTTTTGCAACTGTGAATGATCACAGAATATAGAAGATATTCCTCTGACACTAACTATAAAATGCCATCAATAATCGATGATTACTAACCAACACAAGTAGACTTCTTACCCCATTGTAAATTTTGAAGCTCGTTTTTCGTGTCTAGTTCATGTCCGGTTTCACTAATGACTAGTGTCGACAAATTTTCATTCTATTATTTTAGGGTTAATTGAGTGATTTGTGCTTTACTGTTTGGTTATATAACTAGGGGGCGAATTATTGTTCATGCTAGATCGTTTTATTTGGTTAAATTACTGAAATAACAAAAAACAAATTGTAAACAAAAACGGCCTCTACAGTGCACCGGACAGTCTTTTAAACGTTCAAAAATTAAAAGATTGGTTGTAGCACCCATTTTATTGCCTATCAGAAACTGGGCTATGGTAATCTAGAGTTTCTTCATTATGATTTAGCAAATATTCCTCTAATATTGTCCAGTATAATTATTTCGAGCGATGAAAAAACAGACTGACAGATACACCTTCTTTATGAATACGTAAAACGGTTGTTTTGACGGCCTCATTTCTATATTTGAGTTTTGGTGAAAAATTCCTCTTACGAACCTACTAACTGTTGATAGAATTTTTTTAACGAATTTTAAACAATGCATAAATAACCTTTTGTCAATGTTTTTAGAAACAAGTACTGTACTTTGGTTTTAACATTCGTGTATGTAGGTAGGTATCCACGAGGAAAGTACGTCAATGAGATATCCTATGTATTTAATCAGTTTGTTCTTTCAAATTATTTATTTTTGTATATAATTGTAAATATTTTTTTGTTTAATATAGTTCTCATTTTATATAAATAATGATATTTTACTGCAAGATATGAAATGAACTTTTTTATAAAAATTAAGTTTGTTAAACATGTTTCAATTTTAAAACATTGAATTTTGAATAAATTAGTGAAACGCTGTTATCGTTCCAGATTATTTGACTTATGCCTAAATTTACTGATTATTATGCTTTTCTAGGTTCACGGTTGACTCAGGAGATGGTTTGGTTGCTCAGTAACAACCTTGATTATGGAGAAGCCAAGAACACCGTCCTCTACAAACGTTTTGTATTTCTCGAGTAAGTATTTAACTGTTTGAAAAAATCTTAAACAAAAGCATTTAGTTTTTAGATGTTTTCTTTCACTCAACTAGTAAAAATTATTTAAAGGTTATCTAGCTGTTGATATTTCTTAATAGTCTAAAATTTACGTGGTTTTAAGGTATTTTACAACAGGAAAAAATGTTGAATGTGCCAAAGTTAATTCTCGCTATTTCCCTTTAAGTAAAAGAAATATTTAATTAGTCACTCCACCACGGCCAACTTGAGATGATTTGAGATAATGAACCCTTTCCTCCATCTTCCGTAATTGAATGTTTCTCCTTAGTTGTAAGGATCTAATTGTCATTGAGAGCCTGTTTCTCTTTTGAAATCATCCCTTGAGGCGATGTTCTTTCGATTTGCGCTCTTTCATCTGCTTTAAATAATTAGTTAAATAAATTGGTGCTACCTCGTTAAAAAACGTGCTACGTATATTTACGCAGTTTTCCTTAATAAATAAAAGGGTTAAACAATGAATAGGCTACTACAATTCCTTTATTAATCTTCTAATATTTAAAAAGCATTTTAAATTAGCCCACTTTCCAAAACTCATTGGGTTAAAGACTGTATGAGCCATTATTTGAAAACATCATGAAACTCGTCCAAAATCATATTCAATAGATACCTGAGCTAACAAAATAGTAACTTGTAAATTGGCTGATGTGCTGGTAGATTACTGCATTTGATTCCGTTCGTTCACTGTCCTATTATTTTTTAATTGACCAGCTTATTCCTATCTCTAGTGACACTTATATCTCGTTACTCCCATAGTGAACATAGGCAGTTTTTCACTTCACCCCGGGGTTTCCTCTATCACTCTACAGTTACGTCACTCTGTGTTTATGTTAATATCCATTTACCGTTGCCTTTAGGGAGTCTGAACTAGAGTTTTTCCTAGGGGTCTCCTTCAGTATTTTAAGCGTTTTACCAATTATTTGAATTTGTCTTCGTCGTTGAATTTTTAATAAAATTTTGTGTTGGTTTTTATTACTCTTTTTTTCAATTAAACGTATGCCTAATATTAGTCATTACACATTTTATAAGATGACCTTAGAAACTAGGTACATTGAATTTAATACCTTAAGATTTCCAAGTATTGTTTTCATTCAGATAGTTTTCCTCTTTGATAATAATGATTTGCAATTAAGATTGCAATTGTCTACTAGTATTCCACTTGACTAGAGCCCTGCACAGTAAAGCATGTGCATTATATTTTCATAGGTACATCACTCTCTGGCCGGAAGGTGCTGACCAGCCAGACACAGTTTCCTGGGTAGAAGATATGCCTTCGCCGAGGTTCATCAAGACACATCTACCTCTAGAGCTACTGCCTGAGGAACTTTGGACCAAAAAACCTAAGGTATGGTTTTATGTTTTTCTTCTTCGTGATGTTTCAGTCCAGAGAGCTGAAACTCTACTGGACTGAATCTGTTTTAGGACTGTGTCATATATGTTGAAAGACCTTTGTTGGTCTAGTGGTGGTCTTCTGTACTAGAATAAATTGTAAACTCGGCAATCGATAGTAGGAATTGTGGTGACCTTGACCTGGAGGATCGGAATCCACCTTTTAAACTGTATGTCTGCTTGTGAAGATCAAAAAAGATAGATCATTTATGGCTAATTGATAGATACTTTTATAAAAACCATATTCTATAAATTGAAAAGTCTATGAATAATTTGTTATTCGTAATTATATTCGTAATTATTATACCGGAGAACGCAATTGAGAGGTTACTTGTTTGTGTTTATTTTGATCTGAGCTCAACTAACAAAGGATTTATTTGGTATATGTGAAATAATAAACGTAGCGAAAACCCCGTATAGGAACATAGGTTGTTTAAAATTCTTAGAATTCGCACAATTTTTTGGTTATATATATATATATATATGAAATTCTAAATTGGATCCAAAGCACTAAAGAAAATGTGTCAGAAGAAGAAAAGTTTTCACATAATTACAATACAAGGAATAAATATAGTTTCAGATTACCACATCACAAGTTAACAATATTAAGAAACAGGGACTAAGATTGTACAATTAATTACTCCTGTATCCAAAAAAATCAATTGGAGAATACTGTAGTGTAGTTACATTTTCAATTATATCCTATTCGAGTTTGTTTTAATTATTTTAACTACATTCTTTTATTTGTAAATACAAAACTATGACGTAAAACCTGTTCTCATGTATGAAATGTACTTTGTAAAGAACGTTTGGTAAATTAAAGTACTGAACTAAGTACTGAATTAAGTAGTTCTGGTAAGTAAAGTTGCTGTTAATAAATGAAAATTAGTATCTAATGGCTTTTAATGATTTTTTTCTAAAATGTTGTAAATCTTTATATTAACCATTGCACCATATTTTTTTAATGCACTTTTAAATGTGCTATTGGTAAGCGGGCCCTTTAAATGAATATTAAAATATTGATCGTCCATACTGTATGCCGCTAAATGTCAATTGTAAATTCCATAAGATTATTTTTATTTTTTTTTTTTACTAGGTTACAGTGAATATATGTATGAACCTAAAATACATATGTTGATATGTTCAAGCATTGCATATGCCAGTTAAGTACCATGCGTAATTTGGAGTATCTTAGGCTAATGGTCTTTACAGCTATTTAGGCTACAAAAAAAGAATGATTATTTCCCCTTAATAAAAAATTCTTCAAATATGGCCAAAAGCGCGTAAAATATTGCAAATCAATAACTATATTAAAATTTTAACTTTACATTCTTAAGCAAATAAGCTAATAAACACATGCTGTAATCTTAGCAAACAATAGCATCGTGGTTTAGCTTTTAAAAAGTTTTTTGCTTGGTTACAATATTTTCCTGGTTTCCAGATAATATATATAGGTCGGAATCCCAAGGACACCGCCATAGCTTACTTCGGGCACTACAAGAGATTCTACAAATACACTGGGACTCAAGAACTATTCTTCGAGGCATTTTACCGTGATAAGGGTAAGTGTATGTTTATTATGTTCTCCATAACTTAAGCTATACCTTCTGACTGTCTGAAACCACCATAATACGATATACAGGTTAGTTTACATGTATAATATAAAATTATATTTTAAACAATATAGTTAAATTCATATATAAATACTATACAAACAGCTTACTTTTCCTTTTTTCTATTATTATTATATGGTTTAATGTTTCATGTAATTCATTTAATTTCAAATATAACTTATGAGCTGGATTTATAGTCCAATATAAGGAAATATTAAATTGATTAATAGCGCTCTCCTGTGTTCAAAGTACGGCGTTCCACTCGATTTAATGTATCCACTTTACTCAACACAATATTTCTGCCCCTGTTAGAACGAGATTGTTAAATATACCATTATAACTGCTTCATTTACTGCTTCATTTTATTACTCTACCATATTAAATACAAAATCTGAACTCTTATTTTCAATTACATAAAACCATTGGCATTTGAATACTGACATCCCATCTGTATGGATCAGTTGTGGCCAATGTTAAACTAAATATAAAAACCCCCCCCATAGACCCTCGTTCCCATGGTCCGATTATGCTGGATCGCGAACTCGATCGAATAAACGTAGGTTTACTCGTTTGTACTAAATTTCATAAAAATCGGATCATTTTTGCTCGAATATATATATCAATTTGAACGTATGGTGTTTTTGGTCTTTAGGGACCTCAAAATTTAAAATTAAATCGGTCCCGGATCCAGGTCTTACCATGAGTACTACGGTAATAGCTTATTCCCTATATGAGAAATTCGGTAAAAGAATATAGTTATGCGTGCCAGTCATAGATTACGCTAGTGTCTTAAATCATATTCACACCCTATTTTATTTTGTTAATGGCATAGTTTACGTGACACATCAGATTATGTGACTTATGATAAGACCTCCTGTCAGTTTGACTCGGTTAAAAAGTCAGAATACTCTACATAAATCAAAATTTTACATCAGTGGGATCTCTCGGTGGCTTACTTTAGCTGAGTTTATTGTTTAAACTGGTGACGACATTATTACGGGAATGGAATGTCTAACTCAATTGTCATGGATAAAACTTAACCGAAACTTAATAACTAACTAAAATACTACTAACTAAGAACTAAAAATCTAATGAAATAACTAACGTTTTCCTTAGCTGGCCGAAAGTGCTCCCAATCATATAGATACATATACCATATAATTGCCAACTTATTTAACTTCTACATAATCGTCAAAATGTATGTATTTATGAATTTTAAATACATTATTTTAACAATAATTTCCTTGATATTCAATCAATTAAACAATGATTTCTGATAAACTGTTATGAAAGTTAAACAAATTAAAGAAATGCGTTAAGCCATACTTAAGAGTGTGATTCTTAAAACATACTGATAATAATCATGTGTAAGTTATTTTTAGTATCTATACTTTTTCAATTGTTTTTGAATGGTTTTTTATATTCAAAACAAGAAACAACAATGGTAAATCTTTTTCAAACACTATAAATAACGTACAGTTATTTTGTCAAAACAAAATTAGTATTTTCTTTTTGCCATGAATTTGATTTTTTTTTATATGAAGGGAAAAACTTTTTCCCTTGTTACAGTTCAACTACACATATATTCATATATGTCTTAGGCAAGCGAATTATGAGAGGAAAGCATGTTTATAAAGCAATAAACTCATTCAAAATTTCAACATCCTCTACTGCACAAAATAAATCCTTTGAAAAACAACAGTGTAAAAAATAGGTCCGTTGAACAAATCCATTCACGATGTATTGTTTTTCAGTTGCACCTACTGTTAAACCCCAGAGCAAACCGAGAGTGCATGATTTTATTCTGTGGTTGAAACTTAACGTATCACTCTTGATGAGATTTATTTTAACTTTTTTTTCTTTATACCTTATCCATTTGAGATGTAATGGGTTTCAGTTGTGTACAGCCCATTCTGGGAGCATGTATTGTCTTTCTGGGACAAGAGAAAAGAGCCAAATGTACTAATTTGTACATTCGAAGAAATAACACAGGTAAGTCCTTTTCTAAAGGAGAAAACACTACCTTTCGTGTTTTATACATTTAACATTAGTCATGCTAAAAAGAAATCAATATTAGGTAACTCAACTAGCAGTTATGTTTTACTAATAACACAAGTTAATCATTACCGGTACCATAATTATTTCTTAAATCAGATACACTTACTGTATACTTATAACTCAAACTGTTTACAGCTAATATGTCGTATAGTTTATAACTAATGGGCCAACAGCTCTTTGCTAATAGGTTGTATAGTTCACACCTAATACAGTTCATAACTAGTTATATAATCCTACGTAATTTACGCTTAATGGTTATTTGAGCAATTTCACATTTCATAAGCTAATGAGTCATACAGTTCACAGTTAATTATAAATATTATTTCATTTCCCCTAGAGTCTTTTATCGGTCATCAAACGCACTTCTTCTTTCCTCGGAGTCAGCTTGGAATCTGCAGATGAGATAAAAGTCGTCGAGTTTCTACAAAACAAGAAACTACCTCCGAAGCCCGGGGACGAGGACTCGGGGAACGACGAATCAACCCTGGCCAACCTCGGGGACGCTGGCTGCTGGAGAACCACAATGACTCCTTCCCTGGCAGAGAAGTTCGACAGATGGACCAAGGAGAAACTAGCGGGAACTGACTTTAGCAATGTGTTCATGATCATATAGTAACTGAGGAGACTGAAGGATACTTAAACGTTGAAAAAAGTAAGGTTAGAATCTCCTAGAGGTTCTTGTGTGGAAGGATCTGGGTTTGGCGTCAATTTTGGTTTGGTTTATGTGATCGAGTTTGATTGCTAAAAAATATATAAACGAACTTTTTAGCATGCTGTAAGTTGTGCTTTCTAATTTCAAAGTTAAATCAGAGCATTACGTGTTACATGTCGTTACACGATCATTACATAGCTCAGAGTACTTTGAGATATGATAAGTGTTTATAATGAAAAATCAGTAGCTGTGAATTGGTTTGAATGCATAATGTTTATTGTTATGTTACACTAAATGATTAACATCATATACATCTGTTAAGTCAGTAGGAACGGTAAGTTTGTTGAGGAATCCAAAGAGATTGCTAACTGTGGGCCTACTTAGTGATATACTTTCCTTTACAACCCCGCCATTATCATTCTCACTGTTGGGTTCTAAGCCATCAAATGGGACTACTTCCACTGTTACATTTCTCGAGTTGCCTTTACACTAATTGGATAAGTTTAAAGCCCGATTTTGACGTAAATTTCCTTTCCAAGTCTGGTTATACCATTAAACATAAACTTTCCTAATGCTAATTGTTCAGTTTAATCCAAACTTATCTCAACTGATAGTGACGATTTCTGCCAGTTTAAGTTGAAACTTGGGATTGAGTTGAAGTGTGTTCACTTATTTGTAACCCGTTGTACACATTTCATGTTCATTAAACTTCATAGTAGGTAGGCCTACTACATGTTTTTGTTCATAAATGATAATATTATATATTTAAAACAAATTTGGGGGTTTTCCGAGTTCGTTTATCTCTTCTACCCGACCGACTTTCATGATTGAGGTCTCAAATCGAAGGTATGCAAGTAGAAATTTCACATCAAGCAATGACATATACAGTATTTATTTACTATATTACTCGACCAAAAACCATAAATTTGATTGATTTTCGAATTCTTACTTCAATTTAAGATGTATTTCACCAGTTATATTTAACCATATAATCCTATACATTTTGGTCTAAGAACCTTAAGTGAAGTACCGGCATTCGTTTAAGCTATTAGTGATTCAAATCGGAAGTTTCAAGCAAACGCAAGGTGAACAACCAGCATAAATAAATAATAAAAATTATTTTTTATAAGGTTTTTCTATTAAAAATCAATATTTCCAGCATTGTTTATGTTCTCTATATGTTTTGGACTCAAAATACTCAGTAAATTATGCTGTGGTGGTAACTGGACGTAACCTTCTTGGTGATATTTAGTTTCAGTTGTTTTCTGTATAACATATCCGTTCACGATATTATGCGTTTCATTTGTGTACAGCCCATTCTGGGACAAACATGTTACAGAATAGCTTACAAACAAGCTCTCGTTAAGTCCGCATTGTTTCGGAGTGTGCTTTAATTTGAGCTATTGGTCGTTTGAATCAGTTAAGTTCAAGATACTGTATTACTCAATCAAAAATCGTAAATTTGATTATCTCTCGGATATGATATTCATTTCAACGCTGCGGATCACCATGGGTCCTCTAGTTATTTATTAATTCAATATAGAGTTTATATATAATTCAAACAAGTTATATTATAAGTAGGTGTTACTGAAGTGATAAAAGCATACAAATTCTTAGTTTGTGAAAAGAATTTATTGTTGACACATAATATTTTTTTTATTGTTTGAAATATGTTTAGATTACCTACTTCTGGAGGCATGTAAAATATTTGTACAATAATGGTTATTTTTGGTAAATACATATAAATTTCATCAATACATTTAAATCTTTTTAGTACAACTACAAACTTTTTTAAAGAGGGCCTTTTAAGTAGACCATGGTATTGCATCGCAAACGGCTTAATTGTGAACAGACTAGCTCTAAACTTGACAAAGGGTTTAAATGATAATCTAAAAAAAAAATTAGGGTGTACTTTATAGTGTTTCCTTACTTCAAAGCATGCGTTGAATAATCTTATGTTTATTTACGTTTACCTGAATGTCAATGTCATAATGTTAACACACAATTAATCTAGATAGCAAACTCGTGTACTCTAATATAAAAAAATGCATCTTGAGATACTTTAAGGTTAAACAAATTAAGTAACATTCAAACAAAAATTGCTGCATTGAGTTTATAAACTATTGCATACAATAGAATAGTGAAATTTCCTCATAACCATCCACCCATTCTAACCAGAATCGAATTAACACAAAATCCCGCTGTTGCTAAATGCAATCACACAATGGGTTAGCTCGAATCCCACTGCAATGATAGCCTATCTCGGATCTGCCATCAGATACTGTAGTCCACCAGCGCTGGTGCTGACGCTGTTGTATCATGTTTGCTCTCAGCTCCGATAACATTCAACGCTAATTATTTCCAAATTGAATAGATCCAGTCAACAGTTGCTGAGCTTAACCAAACGATTGTGATGTGGGGGAGTTTGTTCATTTAAATAGCAGTTTGGCCATTGTTCGTATTTGAAAGATATATCTTACTAATATTATAAATCTGAAAGTTTGTGAGTATGTTTGTGTGTTGCTCAATCACGCATAAACTACTGGACGGATTGAGCTGAAATTTGGCATGATGATAGCTCACATTCCCTATTAACATTTAGGCATATTCTTACCTCAAAAATCCAAAGGACCGTCTATGAGTTTGATCCAAGGAGGCTCACCGGCCATTACTCCAGGAACATTAGAAAACATAGTCCGAAACGTATATACACATTTGGTAACTGATTTTATTGTTTTAGACCCGCCAGATTTCAAAAACTAAGGGAACTTATAGCTGGTCTACAAAGCAAAGGAGATTTTAAATTTCTTAACACGAAAATTCTTTAAATAGAGTACTTGTCAGAAACAGTTTTCAGCTCACCACAAAATGTACTGACACAATTTAAATCCTCTTTACAAGTCCAATTAACCCTTTGTAGTGCTACAAGGCATTTTCCTGCGTTTATTTTAAAGTCATCATTGTATTGACCATGGCTGAAAGAGGACTTTTCAATTGAGGCACAGATCCAGAATGAATATTCTGGATTCCAGAATGAAGATAAGATATAATAACTTGTATAGTTATTTATCTTCAGTATACGCTTACTACAGCGACTTTAACATATGAAATTGCCTGAATTTCATTTTTAGAAACGTTACAAAAATGTCCTAATATTTACAAAAACTAATTGTTTTCTTGCCTCTCCTTATCGTCTCACTTTTACCAAAACTCGTTTTGCCTAATTTTCTCTACTCATTCCTCTCCTAGCTCCATACCTCCTTTCTTCTTGTTACCTCTCTTTACCTAATATACTCTTTCTATTCTTCCTTTCTATTGTCATGACATAATGCAAAATATATTATGTACCTATTTATTATAAACGTAAATAATTATTGCAAGACTACAACCACAGCAAGATAGGAATAGGTAATCCCTCTGATTGGAATATCCTACGATAATTATCTTGCTAAGTCCGACCTGTTTAGCTGTTTTACGTTTCTCGCTTATCGGCCATCGATTAGTATATGTTTATGACAAACACGAAGAAACAAATTAATGCGTGGAAAAATAACAAACGTTTCGTTGCTTTCTTGTAATCCCACAGTGCGCAATGTTTTTCTTGATTTCTTAATTCTTGAACGAAAGTTAATTGATTTTTAGAGAACGCTTTCATGATTTAATGTATGCCTATGCAAAATAATTATTTCATATTTTTATGCAGAACAAACACTTTGCTGTACAAATCCTGTAACATTCTTACATTACATTCCAACAGCATTGTCGACAGTTTGATATCGAAAAACACCACGGCTGTACACTGCTACTACCTGGTGGCTAGTGAACAAACTTTATACAGAGCTATCCTGTCTGTACCCTGCTACGATCTGGCGGCCAAGCGAGCAAACTGTATAACCGGCTGTCTCATTCATAACAAACCATTTTTTTGTATAATTCTTTATTTTGCAAATTTTCAAACTACAACTAGCCAGAATAACTTTACAATGCTATGATTAAGAACAAATATCCCACCACAGCAAACCTGCATACATGGCGCATTCCTATTTACTTGGTTGGATATTTAAAGTGAATTTCGTCAAAATGGGAAGATTTTTACTCGAGTTATGGTGCTAACGGGCTTATCCTACACTTATCTCCGTTCATACTTGGCTTAAAATACCTACTTTGTATGGTCGCAATTTCAAATAAAAAGTATTTAAAAAAAAGTAACTATAGATTTTAACGGCTGTTGTTTTTTGCTTCTAGGAGTCTAGGGACGGAAAATTGTAAATCGTTCCCGTGCCTAGGTCTTACCATGAGATCTGACAGTGGCAATTGATCATTCCCTATTTTGGCAAATCTGCAAAAAAACTGTTGCACATAAAACCACCCAGTTATAAGGAAATTTCGAAACTTTAAGCCTTACCCGTATTATTTAATTTATGAACGTATGTGTGTCTCTGAATATACATTTGATATTTTACTGTAAACCCCTAAGAATGATAATAATGATCCAGTGTTTACCCATGGTCAACTTTATGTTGCTTTTAGATGGGTAAAGAGGCCAGATAAGGTTAAAAGTACTAGAACCAAATAATGACCTAGGAATCGACCAAAATGGATACTGTAAAACAAATGTTGTTTCAGAGAGATTTTTTTATAGAATTAGCATTTTACAATTTGGATGATGACATTATCTCTATGGGTTTTCTAAGTGAATTTGTCTATATTTAAAGAAATCTAGATAGATTTAATTAATAGTCATGAAGATTGTTATAGGAAAATGTTCATTAGTTGTATTATGATCAGAAAGTTTATATTATAAACACATCACATGTCCTTTGGAATTTTTATTTTAAACAGAGCAGACATCAAAATGCATTAAGCATGTATGTAATAACTATTATACATATTATAATATACAAAAATGTTAAATAATAATACTAGGTAGGGTAACCCATGAGACTAATAATTTGTTCAAAACAATAACTATAGGGGCTATTGCCCCTACAAGCCACTAGTATCTTTAGAATACGTCACCAGCGTAGAGAAACCAATTAGGCATATTATTTTTGACGTTTTCAATTTTACCTCACTGTTTCATGTCTTTCGCCCATACTTTTATTACTGTTGACTATAATTTTTAGAATATTATAGTCAACAAGATATAGAATATTATAGTCTAAGTAATATAGTTGTTTTAAATCAATGTTATATTCAATATTCAACATCCAATTAACTATAACTCTACAGTGGTGATTATATGATATTTGTCACTTTTGTTTTTTACACCAGTAGTGTATGTCAATTTTACTCTTCTTTAATAGATATAACAACAGTTTTGTTGCTTTTCAGTCATTATTATTTAAATAAGAAACAAGTCGATCCGTTTGAATAGCTTAGTAACCAAGGCTAAAAATTTCGAATCAATTTTAATGTAAAACTGTAGTGCAGTTTGTATTGCATTTTTAGTCCAAGTAAGCAGCACTGGAATGTGTTGAAGCTTATGCACATGGATATGCAATGTAATCAAGTTTCTATTAGTCTATATAATTTAACTTATACCCCTACATATTTGTTAGTTATCTTTAAATATAACAAGTACATAGTATAAAATCATTATACTGTATGTACATTATCTTGTACCATTGAATAATAAAATGGAAATAATTCTTTAAAGGACAGAGAAGAAAAAATTTACATGTGCGAATATTTAAACCATTGTAACTACTAAATCAATTTCAGTTCTTAATTGTATTATTTAATTTTCTTACTTTATCAGTTCCTGTACCCTATACCAAGCAAATTTTAATTATTAAAGCTCCTTGAACTCTGCAGCTCATAGTCCTACTCATCATGTCCTGTTTTCGATGAAAGACGGTTTAGACTTGTTCCAAAACTTAAGTGCAAATTATGCATCCGTTTTCTGGAGGAAGGGTTACCGTTCCCGTGCCTCTAATTAATTTGTTTGATTACTCGAAAGTTTCTAATACTTAACAACAATCGCGTAATGAAAGTCTTTAAGACACGAGTAAACATTTACTCCTTCTACGAGTTTCTTAAAGGCTAATTACGCGAGTTGCGTACACTACTTTACCTAAGACCGTTTTTTACTACCAATCATAACGTCTAAGAGAGGTTATGTTTTTGTGTATAACCTCTCATTGCCACTGATTATAATGCAAAGACTTATTGTCCCAACCACTCACTCATTCTCATTGTATAATCAATTATAAATTCGCCTTAACAGATTATAATTTTACGTTGGAACCATTAAAGTTTTACTTCTTTTCTCTCAATCGTCAAACCTCATTGGTCCAAACTTGTACTGTAAAGTAACAAAACAATGCTGTAGTTTTCATCACTAGAAGCGAAATGGTTCTTTTAGGTACGCAATCGTGATTTTACTATTAAGTTTTTTACTAAGTTTAACTAAGTTATTATTAAAAGATTTTTTAGTTATTTGTTTTTACGATGGAAATACGATTAAGTACAGTACCAAAAAGACACTCTTGCTACATGTGATCAAAAAAATGTCTGCATTTCTGTTGTTAACAAACATAACTTTAAATATCGTTATAATCCATTCATCTCTATGATGATTACCTACCGTTGAGTGAATATATTTAATTTCATTAACTTAATTGAAAATGCTATTAAAACAACTGTCATAGGTGAAATTCATTTTGAACTGCCCTAGCTTACAAATGTTAAAATCACAAACACATTTGTACCGTAATGTTATTGGAACATATTTTTTTTCATTTATTCAAACTAATGAGATCTTGTTTTCGAAATGACATTTATGGGTATAGAACATAAATAAAATATACATACATCTAAAACACTATAAACATATATTAACACTTGCTCTGTTAACTTATAAGACGGGTATATGTTATATGTAAACACGACATAAACGCTACCAGGGTTTTCACTTATTTATAAACGTAAAAAGTAGAGTTATCGGAGGGCCGCTTCTTGTACCGTTGTATGAGATAGAAATAATGCTATCCAAGCTCGCAGACGCGCAAAAACCGCCAATAATATCGAACAGCGACACACAATTACTCACCTCTGGTCGTGTATCGTTAGGCTCGATTAGAACGGTTGTGTTACAAAAACCGCTCAAAAGTACTTCGGCGCGGGGTTTTTACATGAAAATTGCCCTTGAATTGGTGCACGCGCCGGCGCTGAATGCGGAATTTTAATTTAGCCAACAAAAGAGACGCCAATCGTTTGATTTTGATTTAATTTGATGGATTCCAGAAGTGTCCAGGGTTCTTCGGCTTCGACGTTTCGTTGGGTATTCTGTCCGGCACAGCATCATCACTGTCTCGACCACTTAGTTATTAGCAAAGCTAGTACGATTGTAAAGCTCAAATTGTTGAGCAATGGATTTAAAATTTGATAATCGTACTAATTTTATTCCATTTTAAATTGTAAACTAAGATTTTTTTAGTTTTAAAAGTGCAATGTGGCTGCAATATAAAACTAGACCATCAGAGGCAATGAGACTAGAGACTATGTACTCTTTCAACGAAATTATTTTTAATTGATTACTATATTGACTGGTACACTATGATGATGATGAGTAGAATTGTTAGTAGGTTTAAATTATTGATACATAAGCCTACTAACTAAGATGACTACTCTTCCAGGATTTGAAAGCTTTTGGATAGGAATAAAAAAAATATTTCTTTCCTCAGTGATAAGGCCATGGCAAATCTTTACTTCTTTAATAGTAAATCTGTGTCTAATCACAACGTTATTCCGATATTCCAATTTCAAGTTACTGTATTATCTTCCAGCAAAATACACTTCCCAGATCAAACCACTTCTGCAGCAGACGACAGTGTAAGCAACTCCCCTAGAAACATTGCATTGCTAGAAACTAAATACTCATCTGTTCGTGCAACCTTGTGGTTGGACTATAGGTGTCAAGAGCGACGAAACGTATCGACAAATCCATTGAGAAGGCTCATAAAACTAGTTGAGCCAACAGCAAATATCTATTACCATATTAGGCCTCACAGTAACTGCTACGTTACTACAGACACAAAATAGTTAATCTAGTAATCTAAGGCCATCTTTGAAGCAGATAGCACGTGTCAATATTCAGCAAGTAGGTAAAGACAAATCTGTGATATTAGGTACTGTATTAGGTAAAGGCAAAGTTGCTTCGGTCATTGTAGAGGTACGCCAAGTGCAAAGCTACCATAGACACTACATACAAAACAAGGTGAGCACTATTGTGTTTTCTTATATACAGTAGTAGGTTAGAAATGTTAACAAAAATATAATTTTATAAGAAGAATTGGTATTTTTTATTGTTTTATAAGAAGGACTCGCCTTTGGCTCGCTGGGGGCTCCGCCCCCAGGCCCCCTAGCTGTTAGTCGTCATTAGTAGATTAGAGTTAAGTTGTAACAAAGCAAGAAGTGAAACCGTCAATATTAAGTTATATAAGTTAACTTTGAGTAAGATAACTTCTAGCTTAAGGAACACCTCATAAAAAAATCATTTTTTAAGTTGCAGTAAGTGAGTATGTTAGTCAAGTATTTTTACAATTGAGTTTTTGGTCAAAGGAAGTAATAATATGAGGAGAGAAGGGTTCGTTATAGTAAAAATCGACATTAAAGTAATAACGATTTCATGAATTTATTAGAGGAGATTGATAAGTTAATAAGTTGATAATAGTAAAGTATTATATGAAGTAAATAGATTATAGTAGATATTCAAGTATATAATTACGAAAATAGATTAAGTAAGGTTTGTTTCCCTGTCGGTTAGCCATAAACTTTATGGCATATCCAGTTCCGCCACGAGGAGGCCAGGAAACGTCGGAACCATATTTGCAATTATTTGAATATGTACAAGTTAGTAAACTTTTGTACAAGATAAGTAAATTTATATTGATGTTCATTGATAGGTTAATAAGTTGATAATAGTAAAGTATTATATGATGTGAATAGATTATATTAGATATTCATGTATATATGATGTAAATAGAAAATAGATTATAGTAGATATTCATGACGTATATATTTATGAAAATAGATTAAGTAATGTTTGTTTCCCTGTCAGTTAGCCACAAACTGTATGGCATATCCAGTTCCGCCACGAGGAGGCCAGGAAACGTTGGAACCATATTTACAATTACTTACAAATGTACAAATTAGAGAACTGTTGTATAAGATGAGTAGATTGATTAGTATGTCGATTGATAAGTGAATAAGTTGATAATAGTAAAGTATCATATGAATTAAATAGATTATAGTAGATATTCATGTATATATTTATGAAAATAGATCAAGTAATGTTTGTTTCCCTGTCGGTTAGCCATACAATTTATGGCATATCCAGTTCCGCCACGGGGAGGCCAGGAAACGTCGGAACCATATTTACAATTATTTACAAATGTACAAGTTAGTAAACTTTACTAACTACTTTATACAACAACGGGGACTTTTGATAAGGCAGGCCCCCTATCGTACTGCCGATGTTGTCAAGTCACAACGGGGAGTTTTGATTAAGCAGATCCCCTAGCCTACTGCTAATGTCAAATCAGGTTTAGAGAAGGAGATCGCCATACACGATGTTCTTTGCGTATGCGATTCCATCTCGGACACGTTCGGGGTGTACGAGAACAACAATATGGTCTGGATGTCTGACCCTACTGAGCAAGACGTATAGTTGCCCGTGCGTGAAGCAATCGGTCCGTAAATCAACACCGACTGAATCTATTGTCTGACCTTGGCTCTTGTGTCCGGTCATGCAATAGGCCAACATCAGTGGGAACTGACGTCGACGAACACGTAACGGCGAACCCTCGACAAACGCAAAAGTAAAGGTAATCCGGGGAATTCCGATAGGTTGCGTCTGTCCGGGAAGTCTCACTGTAATCAGGCGGTTGGTGATGCCGATTACGATGACTTTAGTGCCGTTGACGAGTCCTTCAGCGATGTTGAGGTTCCTCATAATGAGGCAAACAGAACCGATCTTCAGCCGCAGAACATGGTCTGGTACGCCCTTGCCAGTAGCCGTGTTCAGGAGTTGAACGTCGACATCCAGGCCATCGTCGTTCTCTCTGTCGACTGTGTCGGCGCTCCTCAGCTCGTACAGATGACCGTCGAGGGAGTTCAAGATGTGGTCGTTGATCTCCTTGACGTTCACTATCAGAGTCGAGAGGATTGCGCGTCGCGAACACATATCAGAGTCGAGTAGGACGTTTGCGGGAAAGACGGAATCGACCAAATCAGTCAAAGACGTCACTTGTCTAATCCCGAGCAGCGGAATTAGACTTTGTTCGTTCCGTCCCTCCAAGAAAGTGGTCGAACTGACAGTTCCGTTGCCTACCCTAAGAAGGAATTCGGAATAGGCTGTGGAACTACTAGTCCGATGAGCTGTTGTCAGGGCAAAAATTTTGAAATGCTGCCACAGATGGGAAGCCCGAAGTGAGACACAAACAATGTCAGTTGGAGTACGAGCGTTTACAACGACAGGCGCGATCTGGCGAAAGTCGCCACAACAGAGGAATATTTTACCACCGAATAGCTCACTGGAACGCATGAGGTCTCGCAGGGATCTGTCAAGAACCTCGAAAACGAACCGATGTGCCATCGGGGCCTCATCAAAGACAATGAGCCTTGCGGCCCTGATGAGCTCTGCTCGCTGGGAGCCGTTGGTGATGTTCCAAAAGCCGGTGCCGTCACCGAAGTCGAGTGGCAACCGGAACATGCTGTGAGCTGTAGTTCCACCAGGCATGTTACCCGCGGCGATCCCAGAGCTAGCGACT